ATCAAGATGAAGTAATTTTCGGCCACAGATAAGGCTCCTGCAGCTTTTTGATTGAACACAGTGCGATTCTAAAACCAGTACTGTGTACACTTAGCATAGTAACTCTCGTTGCTGTCAATCGGTCGGTCACTTGGGGAACTGGACTAAAAGATTTGATAATTGAATCTATTAGACGTCCAGCGATGGCCTGAGCAGTGTGACGAGGCAGGGTCTGCATCCATCGATTCTGAATACGATGATGTCGTCGTAGGAGGATCGGGGAGCAGGAAGGAGTCTGCCCACGCAGGATTTCAAAAGGTTTTTTTTTTTAAAACAAAACAAAATGAAGGTGCAGTATTTTAATCTAGTGAAGGAACACCTCTAAATTTGAAAAGTGTATATATTTTTGTAATTCAAGTGTTCCTTTAATGCTCCCCGCAGCGAGACGTGCCATTCTCCCCACCAGCCGTGAGATGAGTCATATTCTGCTGCGGTAATTACAAGATCTAGCTGTCCTATTGTTGATCTGTTTTTCATTCACCTCTTACTGTTTATTCTTAATGTCTGTTAACCCTTACACAGCTGGAAGTATATGCAATCTACGGATTGCCAAAATCCCTGTTATAGAGACACTCCACAGGCGAAATGGATCCCCCTCCCCCCCAAAGAAAACATATCAATATTTAATTATGCATTTTTTTTCTTTGGGAGTTTATCTAAAATCTGCTTTCAAATGCTGCAGATTTCTTGTCTGCAGCCTGTGTAAGCCCTCCCCTTTTAACCCCACCCAGACATTCTGTGACTGTCCATCATAGACTTCACAATGCAGCTCAAAGGCAGCTGAGGTCTCTAGAGTTTATCTCCGCTGAGCTAAACTTACCAGGAACTAAATAGGCTGTTTGACTGACAGCGAGGAGGTGTAACAAGGTTAATTTATAAAATTCTCATAAATCCAATTTCTAATAAAATCTGCAGATAAAACAAAAAAGACACACATAAAGCACTTTGGAAAAGCTAAACTGCTTTAGGTGTTTGGAAAAGGGAATGAATATATATATATATTTGTGTCATATTATATATATATATATATAATATTGCATGTGCAGCATTTGAAACACTGCAGATACAGATTCCTACCACCATGACCACTTCTAATAGCAGCAGTGGTTGTGGTGGCTCACGTAACCCTTTAACTAAAATCTTTAACCACCCGAAGATAAATCCCAAATTGTCCATCCCCATGATGCATTGCCAGTCTTAAAGTGAACATCATCTCCAGCATAATTAATATTCTGTTTACTGTATACTTAGCATCTATACTTAAAGGGACACTATAGTCACCAGAACTACAGCTTATTGAATTTGTTCTGGTTAGTAGAATCATTACCTTCAGGCTTTTTGCTGTAAGCATGGTCTTTTCAGAGAAAATGCAGTGTTTACATTACAGCCTAGTGATAACTTCACTGGCCACACCTCAGATAGCTATTAGAGATCCTTCCTGGGTCATGGCTGCCTAAAATGCACCCAAACATTCAGTATCTCCTCCCTCTGCATGCTGACACTGATCTTTCCTCATAGAGATTTATTGATTCAATTAATCTCTATGAGGAGATGCTGATTGTCCAGGGCTGTGTTTGAATTGTGCTGGCCCTGCCCCTGATCTTTCTCCTTGTCAGTCTCAGCCAATCCTATGGGGAAGCATTGTGATTGGATCAGGCTACCACTTCTGATGATGTCAGCAGACTGCTTGTTTTTCGGAGGCAAACAGCATGCAGAGCTACAGCTTCAGGCTTGAATACAGTAAGCTTTTACTATTTTTAGGGAGGCATGAGGGACCCAGGGGGGCTAGATGGTGGTGTTAACATATGTGTCTGTAAGGTCTGACAAATAAAATTCATTGTAGGAATCCACACCCTTTGTATTTAACCCTATCCTGTAACTGGGGGGCCTCCATCTTAGCCCCCTGTCAATCACTCTTAGAAGTTCTGGACTTTGCACCAGACAGTCAGCATAGAGAGAGCATAGGTAGAGGAGGAGTCATGAAACAATGAGGGACATATATGAAATTATCACCAACACTTTTACATTTAACTTTCAACAATTTATTTTTGTCACAATTTATTTTTGTCATAATTTATTAGATTTGTAAATAATAATTTTTTATTTTTTATTTTTTTTTATGAGGGGGCACCATAACCATCACTTTGGAATGTACACAATTGTTTCAGCAACAGATGTATATCCACTAAACTAGCAGAATTTACCACAGAGAAAGACATCTCTTTTTCTATCACGTTTAAAACCGTTGAAAAAATGCGACCAAAATAATGACGGAATTTAATGTCCCCCTTTCAGAAGACTTTGATAAATATCCGCCATGTTTTAATTCTCCTCCTCCAATGCAATGTGTGCCTTGGCTGTGCCAGGATTGGACCAGACTGTGCCGACAATTGCAAAATCTTTAATATGAATTTATTAAAAATAAAAAAAAATTCATCACATAGAAAAAAGGTTATCACGAATTATAGATGATTTTCAATGTTTTTTTCAAACGTGTAATTACCAGAGAAATTATAGCCTGCTTGCCCCCACCTTTAATGCCACCCCCGCTTTGATTGTCCACCATTCCTTCGCTTCATAGGCTGCAGAGAATACAGTATTAAAGGTCTGTGAAGGTGACGTTTGTATTGCTGCCTTTCACTGGCTTATGCAGAAGTAAATTCGTGGAGGGAAATAAATTGAATATTAATTTATGTGACGTGTTGCTCCATTTTTCTGTAGTTTCTGTATTCAGTTGGTTTCTCGCATCTCTCGCAGAGCTTTCGATAACCTCTCTCCTTTTATCTTCCCTCGGCAGTCCTTGGTTTAGAGGTGATATTTTTGTTCTAAGAGTCAGACAACACACCTTTGAAGAAGGAAAAAGATTTGCTAGCAAAAAGACGTGACTTTTTTTTTTTTCTTTTTTTTTATCTTGTCTGTGATAATCCACTTCATGAGGAATTTGTTTTTTTAGAACGGAATGGTTAATATATTTATATTTTCGATTTCTCTGCAGTGATCTTCATATATAATTCCAGCTGGCAGAGAGATAAATTAATTAAAAGGCAATGAATTAGATCACTCCGGGTTTCCCCATAAATGTAGTGAATTGAAGACTGAATTGTAAAATGTGGGGAAATTAGACAAAAAGCATTGTTTTAGGAGTGAGACAATATTGAAACCCATACTTAACTCGCTAACACAATAGCTAAACATGTCCCTCACAAACGTCGATGGTAGGTAGTTGGATTGTTGGTGAGTGGTTTTACGTATAAGGGGGACATAACATCAGACTAGTGGAAGGTATGCAGGCCAACCAATTGTCGCAGTTTGGTGGGACATCCCCAATTTTAGGGTCCTATCCCACCGTCCTGGATTTGCCACGGAAGTCCTGCTTTTGGGAACACCAGGGAACTGTCCCAAAAAGCATATTTACACTGAGGACTCTAGTGTAGCTCCATGCAAAGAGCACTTGAAACAGCGCTACCTGCATAGTCTGCCATTTCTGTGAATGGCAAGGAGCATGGCATGCAATGTGTGACTGATCTGCGCATTCCTCCTTGCGATGTCACCAGCGATTGGATTCGCACCAATGGCCCTCCCCCTTCTACCCTAAGCATCCCGATTCAAGGGGGTCTGAGTATATATATATATATTGCCGTATAATGTGGATTGAAGTTGTAATTCATAACATCCTGCGTTAGACAATTTAGAACCTAGTATAGCCATCGAGTATGCTAAGAAGTCATATTTAAAGTTAGCCACTTCAAATGCATTAACAGTCAATATATTCTCAAGTTAAAATATTAAATATGCTCAATCACGTGTAGCCAAGGAACATGCCCTCAAGGACCCTTAGATTAACTTGTTCGTTTTATCTTGTATCCATCTGACACTACTTTCAACTACTGTGCAACATTATATCAAGATCCTTAACAAGCTATAGGAATGAACTGTAATTTGTTATCAGATACCATTAACCTAGATATATCTATGGATACAGTAGTATGTTTATAGAGCAGTGTGGTAAGTTTGCAGTGCTAAAAATATAAACATAGAAGTGTTTTAGGAGGTTATTTGGTATTCAGCAATCATGGGGTTAAACATTAAGCACCATATGGTATACGTTGGAAGTCTGGATGTTGAGCGATAACGTATTAACCAATGAATTGTTAGCACTGTGTTTATTCTGTGCCACTCATAAAGATCTATTGAAACTGAACCCTTTATAAACCTTTTGATCTTATTAAAGAATTAACAAATTGTCAGATTGTAGCAGAAACTCTGTCTCTCTGTCTAACTCTTCCCAACCGGTTGAAACAACAAGAGTTTGCCCATAAACTGTTCGATTCCTCAATAGAAGGCTGGCCAACTGTAGAAGATACCGTGGTATCAGTTGAAAATCTTTAACACCCTCAATCGTCACATCTCGCCTGATCCACATGGAGGATGTGGGACCAAAAACTAGACTAAACTGCCATAAAAACGCACTTTAACCCTTCTTAATCAGGGACCCATTAATGTGCACCACATCCACTTAGTGACATTCTCTTTAACTGTATAATTAGCGTAGTGACCGCACAGAAATATCATGGTATGGAGGAGATGTACCTGTCCACATTATATGACCCCACCTGCAATATTCCGTCACAATTCCTTAGCTCATTATCTCATGGAAGATAAAAATCGTGGAAGCTGATTATATATGCTGTGGCAAACCTAGCCACTTATAATAATCTGGACGATGTGCATAAAAAAGGTTGACTGCATTATCCCTGCAACTTCTTGTATAACCTGGCTGTACACTGTGTGTTAATGTATGTTTGTATTGAATTTATATGCTAGCAGCCGAAAGCCGCTAGCATTCATGTGTTTCGTTTCACAAACAGCCACTTTACAGGCTGTTCGTGAACCGTATGAGCTACCCCCTAATAGCCCACACAGAGAGGGACGTGTGGCGCTCATTAACCGACAATGTTGCAATCGGTAATTAGAGGCTTTCCTAGGTGGCTGTCGTTCGGCTACCGACCACGCGGCAGTAGGCCATCTTGGATCCTTTGTCTCCCCAGCGGTGTTTGGTCGTCGAGCGCGTGGAACTGAAAACGGCTACTCGATGGCGCAAACACCGCTGGACTTCCAGGCCGTTCGGGAGCTCCGGTCTTACGCTGTTAGAGTTTCCCCATCGGTGTTCGATACTTTGGGGCGAACTCAATGGCAAAGTGAATTTCGTGCGACGTTCGGTTGTTTTAGCTGGGATCTGAGCGGTATTCTCACGAACTGTGCACTCAGACCCCAGCTATCTACCGAACATCCGTTCGTTTAAATGGACTAAGTATTATAAAAGTTATACATTTTAATGTGAAATGCCGGTTCTGCTGCACGGAGGGATAATCCACTTAACGGTACATTCCAGTGGGAGTCTCTCTCTCGTGCAGCAGTGCCTGATGGGAGAAAAGGTTGGATTGTTAAGTCCCCCATGTAGTCCCCTACTGTACAACCCCTGCTATGTCAGTAAGGAAACCCCTTGCATGGGGACTTGCATAAATACTGGATGCTGTGAATAAAAACCTCAGTTGACTCCCAGAACTGTGTTTCGTCCGGTTACTGGGGGGATTTGGGATATTGCCTTACTTTTCAGCGCTTGACTGTGGATTACCTTCTTTACCAGCGGAGATCGTGGGATTTAATATTGCCGCTTCGCTACATTGCTGAACACATATTGGGGTGTTCTTTGGCAGTAATACATAACAGGAGCTGAAAATCCATGCCTAAAGTACAATGTGAGAGAAAAATAACACAAAAAAATGAATACCCAAAGGTTTGACAGAGACTGGTGGTAGAATTAGTGCATGGAATGTGTTAAAATACCACCATTTGAAATACCCTAGGGTGTCTACTTTTCAAAAATATATGGTTTGATGGGGTGAATTTCATTGACCGGCTTCAAAAATGTCCCAAATAGGACGTGGGTGCATGATGACCAGCTGTGAATATTCCAAGTTGGAAAACTGGAATGCGCACCCTCCAAATAAGGTCTTTTAGCCCCCCTGACACACCGATACATGGGGAGATGTTGCTGAACACATATTGGGGTGTTCTTTGGCAGTAACCCTTAAAGTTCTCAGTACATGTATTCTTAAATTGCTGTGTGTGTCAAAAAATACACTTATTATTTTTTTTTTTTAATTTGGCATGGATTGGTGGTAAAATGGCTGCATGAAAAGAGTCAAACTACCCCAAGTTTAATACCTTAGGTTGTCGTATTTTTTTTAAAATAGATACATGTGAAGGGTTATTCGGGGATTCCTGACCGATATCAGTGTTACAATGTAACTTGCGTTCATTTGAAAACAATTGGTTTGGAAATATCAAAGTGCTACTTGTACTTATAGCCCAACAACTTTCCAAAAAAGCTAAGAACATGTAAACATTGGGTATTTCTAAATTCAGGACAAAATTTAGAAACTATTTAGCATGGGTGTTTTTTGGCGGTTGTAGATGCGTAAAAGATTTTACATTTTGTCATCATATTTTATAATTGTTTTTATAGTAAATTATATGATATGATGAAAATAATGGTATCTTTAGAAAGATAATTTAATGGTGAGAAAAATGGTATATAATATGTGTGTGAGTAAGAGGAAAATTACAGCTAAACACAAATACTGCAGACAGGGCTGCCATCAGAAATTTTGGGGCCCCTGACACAGCTCAAGGTCTGGGCCCCCCGGTGCCTGCACCCGAGTCCCCCCTGTCTCCCCCCAGAGTCCGCCCACAGGGATGCAGTGTCTGCAGGGCCAGTGCAAGAATTTTTGCCGCCCTAGGCAAAAGTAAAGTTTGCCGCCCCCCATGTGATATCACAATGCCCCACCCATATGATCTGCCATATGAACTAACACAGTGCTGCAGTGCCGCCGTGTTTACAATAAAAGGCCTGCAGGGACAGGCTATAGACACCAGAACCACTACATTAAGCTGCAGTGGTTCTGGGGACTATAGTGTTTCTTTAATGTGAGGTAAATTAGAGCTTAGTGCCACGAATAATATACTAGATTGCCTACTTACAACCAGATGAGGATGATGATGGGCTCTAGCTGCAGTCTGGCTCCACTGGTCTGGTGCAGAACAGGCTCTCTGGAGGCGGTTTGTAACTGTGGTCACAAAAATCAATGTTCTGGGAGAACGGGAAGCAGCTCCATTTTTTGGAGGGCCCTTTACACAGCTCAAGGTCTGGGTCCCAGGGTCCACCTTCATGTTCCACCAATGAGTTTGTTCACAGGGGTGTGTGTGTGTGTGGGGGATGTCCTGATGTGTGTAAGGAATGCATTGTGTGAATCTGTGTTTGTATGTGTAAGGGCTGCAAGGTGAGTTTGTGTATGTATGGGATGCAGTGTGTGCGTCTGTAAGGGATGCACTGAGTGTGTAAGGGGTGCATTGTGTGTTGCTGTGTGTAAGGGATGCATTGCTTGTGTATGTGTGTCTGTGTGTAATGCATTGTGTGTTTTTCTGTGTGCAAGGGATGCATTGTGTGTGTGTGATGGATGTCAATTTCCTTCTTCTCCCCCTCTCTCCAATTTCCTTCTTCTCCCCCCTCTCCAATTTCCTTCTTCTCCCCCCCCTCCAATTACCTTCTTCTCCCCCTCCCTCTCATTTCCTTCTTCTCCCCCTCCCTCTCATTTCCTTCCTTCTCCCCCCCTCCAATTACCTTCCTCCTCTCCCCCC